AAGGCAACAAACCCTTTTTTTTTTTTTTTTAATTTGCTATAGGGTGCATGCACTCACCAGAGATAGACACACAGAGACAGAAAGTGAGAAAGCACCCTCCAGGGGGAATGGCCACACTGTAGTCCCTTCTCCATTCTCCTCTCAGGATCTTGGGCATGCACGCATATGTGGCCTGAGCGATTTTTCAAGCCATTGGGTCTAGGATTTGAACCAGGGAGTTTTCCATGTGAGATCCAGCCACCTGAACCCCTCGCTGCCTGCTGGCCCTGTTTCTGTTTTGGGGTGTTCTTTTTATAGACATTTTTGTTGTAGGGCATGCACAGTCACCAGAGAGAAGGACAAAAGGCAAGAAATAGCCCCCCAGGGCGATGGTCACATCATAATTAAGGGTCCTTCCTCCCCTCGGGATTTTGGGCGTGCACGTGTGCCCGGCGTGAGTTTTAAGCCACCGGGACCGGGACACGAACCGCGGTCGACTACATGGGAGTCCAGCGGCATAGCCGTTACGCAAACTGCTGGTCCCTCCAGCGTGAGCTTTAAGCCACCAGGTCCAGGACGCGAACCACAGTCGACTACGTGGGAGTCCAGCGACATAGCCATTACGCTAACTGCTGGTCCCCCCGGCGTGAGCTTTAAGCCACCGGGTCCGGCACGCGAACCAAGATTGATTGTGTAGGAGCCCAGTGATGTCACCATTACACCGTCTGCTGGTCCCACTACTCTCGTTTTTGAAACAGCTTTATAGAGAGACAGCTCATAGCTATGAGATGCGTGCTTTGAAGCGTGCAGTTAGTGGCCTTCGGCTGCTCTCGGAGTCGTCCCCAGGAGAGAGCCCCATCCTGCGCCCCTCATCGGGGACACGCCTTACCCCAGGCGACTGAGGCATCTGGCCGAGATCTGGTTGTACTGGGTGCCCGTGTCCACGGCCACTAGAAGCAGCTGGTCCTGGCACTGAGAAAGGGACGAGGTGGAGTTGAGTCCCGCAAGAGCAGACTGGGGCTGGCCCCTTCAGCTCTCCCAGCCCTTGCAGAGATGAGTGGAGGGGATGAACGGAATCTTTTTTTTTTTTTTTTTTAAGAGCTATAGGGTGTGTGTGCTTGCTAGGGGGAGAGAGAGAAAGAGAAAGTGAGAGATCATCCCCCCGGGGGCCAATGGTCTCGCCACCATTCCTCCTCTTCCAGTCTCCTCGGGATTTGGGGCATGCAGGCACATACGCCCTTCGGATTTTAAGCTGCCAGGTCCAGGACTTGAACCGTGGTCAACTATGTGGGAGTCTGCTGATCCCTGAACTGAGTCTTTCAAAGTGACTTTATGATACTACTCCAACTGGAGTAGCACAGGGGGTGCCATGGGTTTGGGGGAATCTGAACAAAACCAGATCTGCTAGAGGACTCTCCTGGAGGCCGAGGGCCGCTGGCTAGAGGACCCTAGGCCAGAGTAGAGGAGGGCTGTGAAGACGGCATCCTTTGTGGGCGACCAAGATGTGGCTGACCAGTGGGCTCAGCTGGGACAAGGGCGTGAGCCCAGTTTCCCTGGGATGTACGCAGGCATTTCAGGGTGCACTTTTGTCTTTCCAAACATCTCTTCAGCATCTGTGAGTACAGTGTGATGCTGAGGGCCAGCGGGTGGTGTGGTGGTGAAGGCAGCTGCATCCCGCATAGCTGGCTGGCCAGTTCAAGACCTAGACCTGGAGGCTTGAAGCTCACACCAGGCATGTGTGCATGCATGCCCAAAATTCTGAGAGGAGAATGGAGGAGGAGGGACTGCAACGTGGCCATCCTCCCTTGAGGGGTGATTTCTTACTATTTCTCTGTGTAAGTCTCTGACAGGTGCACGCGTGCTATAGAAATTTAAAAAAAAAGAGAGACGCTGGAAGGCCTATCAATGAATGCTGTCCTTTAGAAGTTAAAGGGAATGGCCAGCAGGTGGCATGGTAGTTAAGGTGCTGGACTCCCACATGGCCAACCATGGTTTGAGTCCTGGACCTGGAAACTTGCTTTCTCAATTTCCCTCTATCTCTCCCTCTCTCTCTTTCTCTCTCTCTCTTTCTCTCTGGTCAAATTAAAAAGTAATAATGAATAAAATATTTTTTTAAAAGAAGTTAAAGAGAGTAAAAAATGTAACTGTCGTTCAGGAGAAAGTTTTAAGGCCGTAAAGAGGTTGAGAGTGAAGTGCCTTCAGAGTTAAGGACGAGGGTCCAGCCAGTGCCGAGGTGGTTAGGCTGGGCTCCCACGTGGCTGACCTTGGTGCAAATCCCAGACCTGGCAGCTTGCTTTCTCACTTTCACTCTGCTTCTCTGTGGGAAGCACATGTGCCCTCTAGCAAATTAAAATCATAATAATAAATAAAATAATTATTTTTAAAAAATGGTTGAGGAAGAAAGGTTGTTTCTTCTAGAGAAACCAGAGAAGGTTTCAAGGAGGAGGTACGTCAGAGCTGGGCCGGGAAGACTGCCGAGCGTGGACGTGGAGTGACTAAAAGGGCGCGAGCCCTCCAAGCAGAGAGCACACAACACAGCGGCAGGAGAGGGGCATCTCCCGGGAGCACCTGAGCATCCCCATCCACACACACCGCTCAGGCAGACCGGGCACGCACTCACTGACAGAGGGCGGGTGGGGTGCTGGTGGTAACACGGCCCTGCACCAACGGGAGGTAGCTCAGGACAGGCCCCGGCTGGGGGAGAGGTGCCTTTGCTCCTCCTCCTTCCTCCCTCGCCAGTCAGGGCAGGAAGGCCATTCCTGGACGCCACCCCCCGAGCTCTCTTACCTTACAGCTGACCAGAAGAGCTGGGGTCTCCGTCCTGCTGGTCCTGCCCTCCTGGCCGTGCAGCAGGGCCTGCCCCGGGGGCGGCTCGCCCTGGAGCCCCCTCTGGTTCCCCTCCGCCAGGCGTCTCTGGATCACGCTGTGCGGCTGCTAGCTCCACCACAGAACAGTGGGGGTAGTCAGGCCTGAGCCTAAGCATGAGGGCCAACTGGCAGCATGGTGGTTAAGGGGGCTGGATCTTACACGGCTGACTGATTGGTTCAAGTCCCAGACCTGGAAGCTTGAAAACCACTCTGGATGCTTGGGTGTGCGTGCCCAAAATCCCGAGAGGAGAACGGAGGAGAAGGAGTTGCACTGAGGCCATCTTCCCTGGGGGATGCTTTCTCACTCTCTCTCTCTCTCTGTCTCTCAGGCTAGTACATGCACACTATAGCAAATTACTCTTTAAGGACATGTATACAGGGGCCAGCAGGTGGCATGGCAGTTGAGGTGCTGGACTCGCATGTGGATGACCACAGCTCAGGTCGCAGACCTGGCAGCTTACTGTCTCACTTTCCTCCTTCCTACCTCTGTCTTTCTCTGGTGCGTGCATGTGCCCTATAACAAATTAATAATAATAATAAATTAAATAAAACATTTCTTTATCTATTGTGATTTTCAAGCCACCAGATCCAGGACTTGAACGGTAGTCAGCCATGTGGGAATCTAGCCTCCTTAACTTGCCACCCACTGACCCAGCAAATTAGGTTTAAAAAATAAAATAAACCCAAGCATCCTACTGGCCGCTCAGTCCCCTCACCTTTGACTTCCTGATGTCCTCCCAGCCCCACCCAGACCTGGCTCAGCAACGGGCCAACAGGAGCTGGCCACAGGTGGGAGCAGGTCCCTGCAGCAGAGGGAACCCTGAGAGTACCAGATCGTGCCGCTTTTCTGGGACCCAGCAGGTGGCTCGGCAAGAGGAAAAGTCCATTCTAGGTTAGATTGGCCGCCTGGCCAAAGGGACATTTCAGGAACTAGGACTGTGCTCGAGGACATTTTGTCTCAAATGCAAACACTTTTTTCTCTTTTTAAAAAAATCTTAGATTTTTGCCATAGGGCACATGCACTTGCTGTAGAGAGACAGAGAGAAGGAAGGTGAGAAATCACCCCCCAGGGAGGACGGCCATGCCATAGTCCCTTCTCCATTCTCTTGAGATTCTGAGCCACACACTGTCCGGCATGATTTTTTTTTTTTTAGAGGTTTTCGCTATAGGGCACTTGCGCTCGCCAGACAGACAGACAGAGAGAGACATAGAGACAGAAAGCGAGAAATCACTCCCCAGGGGGGATGGTCACGCCGCAATCACTTCTCCTCCATTCTCCTCTTGGGATCTTGGGCACGCACGCACACGCGCCCGGCGTGAGTTCTAAGCCTCCAGGTCCAGGACACGAACTGTGGTTGACTACATGGGAGTCCAGTGACATAGCCATTACGCTAACTGCCGGTTCCCTTTTGTGTGTGTGTGTCCAGCATGATTTTCAAACCCCCAGGACCAGGACTCAGACCACGAAGATAGCTCTGTGGGATCCAGCAGTTTAACCACCATGCCTGCCGCATGCCAGCCCAACCCTTCTTTTCTGATCGGAGGTATTTCCCCTTCCCTCTGACCTCGCCCTTCAGTGGCTGTAGACCGAGTGGATGGCGTGATGAGACCTAGGACTTGCCCCCCGCCCCGCCCAGCCGCTCCTCTCCACTCTGCCCTACTGCACCCCGCCACACCCCTCCTGCATCACTGCAGGCCTCCCGTGGGTCTGAGGGCTCTTCTCCATGCTGCTTTTCTGTTTTTGTGTCTTTACTGACATTTCTGCCATAAGTAAGGCACGTGTGCTCACCGGAGAGACAGCGAGAACGCCATCCCCGGGGGTGACCACGCCGCGGTCCGGTCTGATGCGCATTCTCTCGGGATTTGGGCATGCACGCACACAAGCCCAGCGTGTTTCAAGCCTCCCAGTCTGAGACTCGAACTGTGGTCGACCATGTGGGAGTCCAGTGCCTCAACCACCACGCCACCTGCTGGCTCCATGCTGTTGCCTTTGAAATACGGCAATTCAGCGCCTCCAGAGTGACCTGACTGAGCCCTTCCTTGCTACTCAAAATAGTTCTTGGATCAGCAGCTTCGGGTTTTTTTCTTTCTTTCTTTCTTTTTTTTTAGAAGTTTTTGCTTTAGGGTGCATGTACTTGGGGGTGGGAGTGGAAGGGAGACAGAGACAGTGAGAGGGACCCCAAGGGGGTGGCCATGCTGCAGTCCCTTCTCTGTTCTCCTCCTGGGAGCTTGGGCATGCATGTCTGTGTACCCAGTGTGACTTTCGAGCCATCGAGTCTGTGGACGGCCGTGTGGAAGCCCGGCAACGTAGCCGCTATGCCATCTCCGCCCCCCCCGCCCAACCCAGTGTGATTTTTGAGCCACTGGGTCTGCGGCCAGCCGTGTGGGGCCCCGGCAACAGAGCTGCTACACCGTCTGCTGGTCAGCAGCAGCTTTAACATCTGGAAGCCTGTTTGAATGCAGAACTCAGACCTACCGAATCTGGTCTCAGCAAGGTGCCCAGCTGACTCAAGTGAAAACTAAAACTCAGCCTGTTGCTGCCCTGTCTAAAACGCATAGGAGGCACCCCACCTCACCCCAACCCCCACCCGTTGCTTGAGTGACAGAGCCCAAGCTTTTTCGGGTGGTCCACATCCCAGACGACCTGGCTGCTGAAGTCTCAGCTCGACCTCCTGTCACCCTCTGTTCCTCTGCCCAGTGACCCCGCACGCTGCTGGTACCAGGCACCTGCGCCCTGCTCACCCCTTCCTGAAACTGCCAGCACCCTTCTCCAGGCCAAGCTGGATGGCCTGCGTCCATGCACCCGGCAATTACTGCAGGTCCTCCTCCCAGCTACCCGACGCCCGTGCCCGCCCCTCCACACCCAGCTGGGAGAGCCCTGCAGCGGACCTCAGTAAGTGCTGAAGGAGGCCTGGTCCCCAGGGCCACCCTCCACCTGCCCCCGCGGGAGCCTGGATTGTTTTCCTAGCCTCAGCCTAATGAGGCCCTGGAGGTTGTGCTGAGACCCAGCCCTGGGAAAGGGCAGCGAGCTCTGGGACTGGCCAGGAAGGGGGCACTGCAGTTTCTGGCTCCTTCCACCTTTCCCACGGTGGACACAGGAGCGGGTGTGGTTTGCTCCAGAGTTGTTGTAAGGAGGGGCTTCACGTGCTGCGCCTCAGCGCCCAGAGCCCCAGGGGTAACTAGGGGTAACTGAGAGCCATTCGGGAGGTGTAGAGGCCCTGGAGTGGAGGAGAGCGCAGGGCTGTCACAGAAGCTGGGCCTCCCGCCCTGGGACGCAGTGCTTCTAGGCCCAACAGGTGTCGGACGGCCCCAGTCCAGCCAGAGCCCACTCGCACCCACCACCCCAGCCGTGTTCACCGTGTTGGCAAGGAGGAGCCCGCCCCAGCAGGTCTCTACTGAAGCCCCAGTCAGATCACTCTGTCTTTGGGGACTGCCGGGAGCGATGGGGCTGGGCTCCTGCAGGGGTAACGTGAGGGGCGGGGCGTAGGGAAGGTAGGGCTAGTTAGGAAATCCCAGGGAGGTGTGGCTGCCCTGCGGGCAGAGGGAGCATGGTGCCCCAGGCCTTTCCCCTCTCCTGGGGGTCGAGGCCAGACAGTTCCAGGTTCTCTGGCCCCTCCTGAGCTGGCTCCATCGCTCACCTCAGGGCGACCGGGACAGTAGCTGCGGGACTCGCAGCAAGTAGACGGTCCTTCCTACAGCCAGGCTCCGTTCTAAGCGCGTCACATGTACGAGCTCGCGCAGTGACCCTACAGGAGGTTCCACTTAGCGGGGGAGAAACTGAGGCACGGAGACAGAGCACAGCGTGCCCAAGTCAGCAGGGCCAGGGGTCGGACCCTAAGCAAAGTGACCCTGAGCCCATGTACTGAGAGCTGCTTCCCAGGGCACAGCTGGGGGTGCCACTGTCCCCTCCTCACTGGTCCTCCCCTGTCCCTGGAGCTGGCACTGCTGCAGGGGGACGGCAGGAGAGGGGCCTGGAAGGACACTGACCTAGGAGGGAGGAGGTATGCACCCAGGGAGGCCGGGTGGTGTCCCCGATGTCCCGAGGGGATGGGGGCCCTCGGTGCTTTACTTCTGAGGGTCAGACCTGGGAGGAAGGAACCTGGTTTGAGAGGGGTGGGAAGCCAGTCCTGAACCAGCTGCCTCCCGGCCTGGAGAGGCCCCTCCAGGGGGCTCCTGTAAGGCTCACCCCAAACAGCAGAGCTCTTCACCCCAAGATCAGCCTAGGCCTCTAAGGGAAAGGTGAGGGAGACTGAGCAATGGCAATAGGGTCTCACGGCCCCCAAGAGAACCTGAGCACTGGAAAGGGGGGCCCCTCGAGTGGCAGGACCGTCTCCCCATCTCTGGAGGCTGAGGGTCTGCACTTTCAGTCCCCCCGCCACCTTGGGGGCTGGAGAAGTGGAGGAAAAGAGCTGGGGCTTCCCCGAGGGTGGGGAGGGGCTGCCTCACCAAGTCCTTGGAGGTGCCGAGCTTCTTGAGGCTGTCCAGGGGCAGCAGGTCGGCCGAGTCCTTGTGCAGGAACTGGGTGGCCTGTTTGAGCCGACGCTGCTGGCTCAGGTGGGCTCGGTCCCGGAGCTCAGCCTCCTGTCCCCTCCTGGAGTCTCCCCCATCTCTCCCGGCCTCCTGCCCGGCGCTCATGGCCCTGAGGGGGTGAGCGGGTCCCCTGCGCCCCCTGCAGCTCCCTGGCTGCCTCTGCCGGGGGCTGCAGCTCTCCTCCAGACAGAAGGGTCTCAGCAGGAGGGGAGGAAATAAATAGCGGGCAGAAGCGGCCACGTCAGACACCAGTTTCTAGAGGATGCAGTAGAGCGAGTGCGACTCCAGCTGGAAAATCCCAGCACCGGGAGAGGGAGGGTGGCCGGGCCTGCAGCCGGCAGGCGCTCCGCATCCCACGGTCCCAGGTCCTGATCAGGGTGGGTGGTGGGAGGGGCGTGTGTGTGTGTGTGTGTGTGTGTGTGTGTGCGCGCGTGTGTGCTGTAAACTGTCAGGGTGCCTGTGCCAGGAACAAGAAGCGCATGTCGTCGTGTGGGGGCGTCAGCCTGCGTGCTCTTGGGGGGGGTGTGCAGGCATGTGCATCCATGTGTGCATCCATGCACCTGCTCTGCATCTGGTCTGCTCGGCAGGCTCCTCTGTACGGTATTTTCTGCAGCCCAGGGGCCGGGAAGCAGGGCAGTAATGGGTTCAGAGCAGGCAGGGCCGGCAGGAAGGTGCCCTTCCCTCTTCTCGTCCCCTTACACCACACGCTCCAGATGCTTGGCCTTCCTGGGTCTCTCCTGAAGCAGATGTGGTCTTTGGCTAACCGACTCCGGGTTCTGGGATCCAGGGGCAAGAACTGCTCTGGATCTTCCCTGGCTTCTCCACTTCTTTTATGGCCTCAAATCATGGCTCTTGTTTTTTTGTTTTTGTTTTTGTTTTGGTTTGGTTTTTTTTTTTTTTTGAGAGGTTTTTGCTATAGGGCTTTTTTTTTCAGACAGAGACATAGAGACAGAAAGTGAGAAATCACCCTCCAGGGGATGGCCATGCCACAATCCCTTCAATCCCTTCTCCTCTGTTCTCCTTTCGGAATCTTGGGCATGCACGCACAAGCTCCCGATGTGAGTTTAAGCCACTGGGTCCAGGACACGAACTGCTGTCGACTACATGGGAGTCCAGCGACATAGCCATTACGCTAACTGCTGGTCCCAAATCATGGCTTTTAAAAAAAGCAAGCAAGGGGAACCAGCAGTTAGCGTAATGGCTATGTCGCTGGACTCCCACGTAGTCGACCGCGGTTCGCGTCTCGGACCCGGTGGCTTAAATCTCACGCCGGGCGCATGTGCGTGCGTGCCCAAGATCCTGAGAGGAGAATGGAGGAGAAGGGATTATGGCGTGACCATCCCCCCTGGGGGGTGATTTCTCGCTTTCTGTCTCTATGTCTCTCTCTGTCTGGCGAGCGCACGCGCCCTATAGCGAAAACCTCTCCAAAAAAAAAAAAAAAAAAGCAAGCAAGGGGCTAGCAGGTGATGTAGTGGTTAAAGCGCTGGACTCCCACATGACTGACTGCAGTTCGAGTACCAGACCTGGCAGCTTGTTTTCTCACTTTCACTTTCACTTTCTCTCTCTCTCTTGTCAAGTTAAAAAATAAATAATGATCTTAAATTAAGTAAGTAAACTTGTAAACAAACAAACAAACAGGGGCCAGCAGATGGTGTGGTGGTTGAGGCTCTAGACTCACGTGGCGAACTATGGTTCGAGTCCCAGATCTGTCAACTTGCTTTCTCATTTTCCCTCTCTCTGCATGTCTCTCCCTGGTTAGATTTTTTAAATAATAAATAAATAAATAAAATTTAATACGTATTTCTTTTTAAACAAAGATTTATTTACATCATGCAGAAGTTGTAAAGAGTAGTATAACCAATACACTTTACTCAATGCCCAATTTAAAAAAAACCTTGTGGGTCTGGCAGGTAGCAGGGTGGTTAAAGTGCTCCCTCTGCCGACCGCAGTTCGAGTCCTGGACCTGGTGGCTTGCTTTCTCATTTTCCCTTTCTCTCTCTCCCTGTCTCTCTCTCTGGTCAAATTAAGAAAACAATAACCGCAAATGGAATTAAATAAATAATTCTTTTTTAAAAGATGAACTTTTTCTCGGTATGGCTGGAACTCCCCGTGTGCTGCTTCTCCCTCCGAATTCACTGTTTACCACGCCATCCTTTGGTTTACTCTTTTTTGTACACACGTGTATACATTCTAAGCAGTGTGTCACTCAACTCTGCCTGGCCCACGGCATGCATTCTGCAATCTGTTCTTTTATGCCCAGTACTTACCAGTTGGATTCAACCACGAGAAACGCATAGCTATGGTTAGTTCACGTTAGATGCTGTAAAATATAGAACTCCACTGTACGGATACCTTACACTGGAGAAACTTAGGGGCCTGGTGGGTGATGTGGTTAAGGTGACTGGATCCCACATGGTCAACTGTTCGTTCAAATCCCAGACCCAGCAGCTTGAGAGACATGCCAGATGCACGTGCGTGTGCGCCCGAAGTGCTGAAAGGAGGGAGAAGTGGAGGAGAGATCGTCATGTGGTCAGGCCCATGGGGAGCGGGGCCAGCTTTCTCACTTTCCCTCTCTCTCTCTGTCTCTTTCCAGTAGGTGCACACACCCTATAGCAAATTTTGTTTTTAAGAAAGAAAGAAAAAGAAAAAGATTACTTTTTATCTTTTGTTCTTAAAAACAAACTGCTCCGCACACTTGTGCACATCTTTTCTGGGACAACGTAAGGATTTCTCTGCGTGTGCCTTGGGCAGGGTGCTGGGACATCAGATAGACGCCTTTGCTGCCGCGGTATATTGGCACATGGCCCTCCAGAGTGTTCGTACCAATGTGCACTCCGCATGCGTGTGAAGGGCTTCTCGAATTCCACATCCTCACCAAGAGGCAGAGTCACGGTTCTTACAGCCTGGGCCCCACTGTCACCGGACTGTCCTCTGTAGCCCTTTGTCTTCACCATCATAGAAATGCATTGGTGAGGGGACCAGCAAATGGCCTAATGGTTACTCCCACATGGCCGACTGCAGTTCAAGTCCTAGAACCCAGAGGCCTGCAACTCACACCGGGTGTGTGTGCGTGCATGCTCAAATCTAAGAGGAGAATGGAGAAGAAGGGATTACAGTGTAGCCATTCGCCATCCTCCCTGGGGAATGATTTCTTGCTTTCTGTCTCTATCTCTGGAGAGCACACACGCCCTATAGCAAACATCTCTCAAGAAAAAAAAAAAAGGGGGGGAAACCAGCAGTTAGCATAATGGCTATGTCGCTGGACTTCCATATAGCCGACCGTGGTTCGCGTCCCAGACCCGGTGGCTTAAAACACTCTGGGCACGTGTGCGTGCATGCCCAAGATCTCAAGAGGAGAATGGAAGAGAAGGGATTGCGGTGTGGCCATCCCCCCTAGGGGGTGATTTTTTGCTTTCTGTCTCTCTGTCTGTCTGTCTGGCCCTATAGCAAGCGCCCTATAGCAAAAACCTCTTCAAAAAATAAAAAATGAAATGCCTAGGTGTGGGCCAGCAGGTGACATGGTGGTTAAGATGGTGGACTCTGACATGATCCACCAAGGTTCAAGTCCTGGACCTGGCAGCTTGCTTTCTAAACACTTTCCCTTTCTATCTTTCTCTCCTTTCTCTGGTGAGCACACACACCCTGTAGCAAGTGAAAGAATAATCATAATGATAAATAGTTCTTTAAAAATTAAAACAATAATTTTTAAAAAGAAGCCAATAGAATGGGGCCTGATCCGGTCTGACGGTACTTAGGAAAGGAGCAGCTGGACACAGAGCGGTGCACAGGGAGAGAACACCCATGGGGCGAAGGCCAGCATCGGGTGACGCATGTGTCTCCAGACCAGATTGTCAGCAAGCCACAGGAAGCCCGGGGAGAGGCCAGGACAGACCCTCCCCACAGACCTAGAAGGAGCCAGCTCAGCTGACACCTGGCCCTTGGACTTCCAGCTCCCAGAACTGTGAGGTGACCCTGCATGTTGTTCGAGCACCCAGGCAGGCGATACCCGCTTATGGCAGCCACGGCAGCCCCAGGACACGGGCGTGCTGGGTCTTAGAGAACACGCCCCAAGGCTCCGTTGTTGAATGGCAGAGCTAGGAATCAAACCGTCATTCTCTGTCCCCCAAGACCTGTTAAATTCCCATGATGCCAAAAGAACAGTGGCGGAGATGATAAGAGAGGAAAACCAAACTATAGTATAATTCCATTTATCAAAGTCTGGCCCACCCAGATCTTGGCTTTATGTTTTTTCTTTTGTTTCTTTTCTGTTTAAGAGAAATTTTTGCTATAGGCATTTGCTGGAGACACAGAGAGACAGAAAGCGATAAATCACACACACACAGACACCCCCGGGGTGATGATTGGGGCCACGCCACAGTCCCTTCGTGCATTTTAAGCCACCGGGTCCGGAGCTCGAACCATGGTCAGCTACATGGGAGTCCAATGATGTAACTGTGACCTCATCCGCTGTTCCCATCTATAGTTTTTTCTTTTTTTTTTTTTCCCCCCTTTGGAGAGGTTTTTGCTATAGGGCACATGTGCTCGCCAGAAAGTCAGAGACAGAGAGATAGAAAGCGAGAAATCACCCCCTTCTCCTCCATTCTCCTCTCAGGATCTTGGGCACGCACGCACACACACCTGGTGTGAGTTTAAGCCACCGGGGCCGAGACTCAAACCATGGTCGGCTACATGGGAGTCCAGCGACATAGCCATTACGCTAACTGCTGTGCTGGTCCCCCCTATAGTTTGTTTTTAGTTCATGTGTGTGCATGAGGGAGAGAGGAAGAAAAGCGCTCTCCAGAGGGCTGGGTTAGTCTCCTTCCTGCAGTTCTCTGGCCCACCAGGCTCCTAAGCATGTGGGACCCTGGCATGTTTGCCGGCTGACAAGCCAAGGACTCGAACTGCGGCTGGCACGTGGCTCCCTGCTGCACAGTCCGGTGCCCTGCTCCTTGCACCGCGGAGACTGGGCCCTGGCTTCTGCAGAGTTTTCAGCTCCTCCCTTGTCTTGGCACCCGTTACCACCATGCATTGGCCTGAGATGGAGCAGGAAGTGAGTCCACGAGAACTCCTCCAACTCCTTTACCCCAGGGAGTTCGTCCCTCGGATTTGAAAATCCACGTCTTCAAGAGTCCCATATGAATTCTTCCTCTGGAGGGACTGCCGTCCGAGCACTTAGCCAGTTGCCTTGAGCTGCCTGACAGCATGCACGGGACATGCAGGTGAGGGTGGTGCGTCTGCAGGCCACACCCCGGGAGACTGGGTGGGGCTGCGGCAGAGAATGGAGACTTTGGAGTTTCAGATCTGGGTGGGGCTGGGAGCGTCAGCCTGCCCTCCTTTCCCCGTTTCTGACCCACTCGAGAGCCGCTCGTGCCGCTCCTGCTCGGGGAAAGGCCCTTCTTGGGCTGTGGCTGCGGAGTA